CAGTGTGAGATCACAGCAACCGCTGTGAGTGTCGTCAGTGCCTTTTACTGACCTTTCCTAAGGTCCTGGACTGGATCAGCAGAGTGGACGGTTGGACTAGTGCCCGGGGTGTTAGGTCCACTACAGCCACCCTGCAGGACACCATCTGCTGCGTTCACTAATCCTGCGTTCTGCCTCCACCTGGTGGACGAGCGGAACCACAGTGGAATGACTAAAATAAGAATAATAATAAAATAAGAAAATAAAAGAAACACCGGCTACAAAAGCACAAAAAAAAGAAAAATATGGCCAAAAGATTTCGTAATCCAAAAGTCAATTTGCATCGTCCAGATATTGAACAATGCAAATTAACTTACTGTGTATTTTCTTGTTTTTGAGAAAACAGAGTTGTGTGAATGTGATTTCAGTTTGTCTGAGTGAGATTATGATTGCCTTGCAGAAAGGAATTATTTTTCTTCCTTTTTTGCGAAGCTTTCCAAAGTACAAAGTTTTGATATTTGCACTAAGTAGTAACATCATGATTCAGTTTCGTTTTGTGGCCCTTGAGTAGTTTTAAATTGGTGGCCCAAATCTTTACTGACAATACTTTGTACTAACTTTTGTAAAATGTAATTTGTGTAAGACAAGCAGTGACTACATGTCTATCAACGTGCTGCATTAAAGGGAAATTCCATCCGTTTTTTTCCTAAATTCCCTCATAACTCAGTGTGTGGGATATAAACAGAGTGATTCACAGTGGTTTGATGTGAAATGGTTCAGATGTCTTTACAGTGGTGCTGATAGGAACCAGGGGTCGCCATGACTACAACACAAATATAGACATTTTATTTACTATCCAGAACCACCAGTGAACCTACACGAGTCTTCTGAGTTTATATGGAATGTTGATGATGGAAAATAGTGGAAAATCTGAAATAATAAGTTATTTTGCCTCACAACATCCTGCATGCATCCCTCCACCGTGAACATATTCTCAGAATTATGTTTTTAGTCCAAAATTTTCTTCAGAGGTGCTTTCAGAGGTGGACGTCTGGTTCCCATCACCATCACTGTGAACAATTCTGCCTCAGTAAGTTTCTCTAGAACAGAGCGTTTCATACCAAACCACTCTGAACCACTCTGTTTACATCTTAACCATGTGAACATGCAGAAATTTCAAGAAATTGGTGGAATTGCCCTTTGATGGAGTTGTGCATAGAGATTAAAATAAGGTGTCTGACTAAGGTCACATTTTCAATCGGCCATAGTCCTAACTGTGACAGCTTTATGTAGAAAAATGACAAATAACGTTTAAAAAAAACCTTGTGAAATTCCAATAATGGTGACTTATAGCTGTTTCCCAGCTGTGCAATGTGCCACATTAAGTTTTAAATGTTTTTTTAGGGAAGTTACAATCACATGAAAATTAAAGAAAAACACCAACCTTTTTTTTTTTTAAGAAAAAAACACTTCTGAAAGCATGGAGACGTTACACTGAACATACATCAGAACAGCACTTAAGAGTAATTTAATAACAAACTTGAATTTTTTCCTAACTTATTTCGAGTGAGCTGTTACTCATCAGACTGACGTGTGTGTCTTAATGTAAATCTTATTTATTAACGCTTCTCACAGGTCAGTGGACCTACATTTTCGTGGAGTCTGAATGTTTAAATATTAAGTGAACTTCCTCCTGAACTGCTTATGTTGGCGATGTGACTGAAAAGGAGTGAGTTTTGTCATTTTTGTGCTCCTGTGTGTCAGTTGTGGTTTAGTACAGTTGAGTGCATGCGAGTGTTTTTGTATTTATGATTTTATTGATCAGCTGTGATTTGTACAGTTTGGGTAATTGAATGATTTCTGGCTTTATTGCATGCAGGACAGTGTAGAGTAGGTGTTGGTACCAAATTGTCACTTTAAAGGTTTAATGCAGCGTTTTTTCAGATCCATAGCAAACAGGTAAATACCACAGACTGTACAGTAAATACCACAGACTGTAGTTTCGTTAGTTTTCCCCTGTTCTTAGGAAAACAATAACACTTATAATGGAGGTCAGTGGGTGGATGGTGAAGCTGCTGTAAGTACAGGGAGATTTTTAGCCATCATAACTGACTGTATCCTACAGTTAGAGATTTGGCTGAAAACTGCAGATGTATTCCTTTAACTAGACTTGACCAGAAGGCGACTGTAGGAAACAGACACATTTTTATAGCTACTGCTGGGTAACAACCACTTTTTCTTAAAGTTCTGTCTGTTTTCTATGAGAAAACCCAACTTGGTAGGTCTCTAACATTCAAATTAAGATCCAAGCTTTAGACCCAGTCCTTCAGTCTTCCTCAGAGAGAGACGATTGAGAGAGATTAAAATCAAGACTAAAATGCTCCGCTTTTGAAATATTTTGGCTTAACTAAAGTGAAAAATGGATTAGATCAGCTTTGTTAGCTCTCAGAGCTTTCAAGTGATCAAATCTAACCTCCTTACCACAAAAGGCAGTCAGAAAAGATCATATTTGGTGTCTGAAGTTTTATTTTCAGCGCTGAAGCTACGAGGCTAATGTGGCTAACAAGTAGTAGAAGCTAGTATGTAGCCTGTTAGCTTTTAGCTTCACACTAACGTACTTTAGCCCATGTTTACAGGTAACAGTGAGTCAAACAGTCAGAAACCACATAATAAAGACTATTAGAGAGTCTGAACACCTCCACACGGTTTGAGATGAGTTAGCAGCACGCTAACTGAATTATGTTAAGTTTCTATTACTTGTTAGCAGCATTAGCCTCGTAGCTCCAGTGCTAAAGCTAAAGAAGCAAACTTGTCTTTGACTACATTTGGTTTAAGCAAAGAAAGTGTGTAAATTTAACTTTGTTGTTCACCAAATGATTCCTTTAATGTGTTTAAGGCCTTTTCTTTTGTGTTTTAATCCAAGATGCTTCTGCTTTTGTAAATGTGCGACGTTTGTCTGTAAATGCAGTAGAATTTGAAAGCTGTGATGGGATTTTTGTACAGGGTTCGTACAAACGCAGTGTCAAGGGCTTTGGAGCAGTTTCGTTCTGACAAGCAAAAAAATACATATATATGAAGCATAATCACCTACGAGAGCATAATCACATGTGCTTCATGCTCCTTTTTTGGTTCCAAACTCCAGAGACTCCAATCTACTATATATACTGTATATTGTGTATGTTTATTGTAAATGATTTTTTGAAGGCATGGTAATTGGAGTTATGTCAGTGATTAAACAAATAAATATTAATTGTTGGTAAAGTGGTGCGTTTTATGTATTTGTATTTGGAGAGAAAATTCCATACATGTCTGCTAATAACGCATTATTTCAACAGGTTTCCACGTCTCAAACATATTTTTTTCCATTTTTCTATTTATTTAGTTATTATTTTATTTATTTACTTGATTTTTTTTAAAACTCATTGACTTGTCCAAAATTTTCATGCATTTAGTGTGGTAATGATAGTAATATCAAGCTAAATTAAAATGTATCTTTGATTCTAACAAACAGAAGCAAGTTGTGGCTATTAATAAGTCAAAAAAGCCAAAAACGCTAAAACTCCATCAAAATGAAAGAAAAAAACCCTTCTATAATAATAAGCTTGTGATGATTCACATAAACACTGGCTGTTCTAGATTAGACAGACATTTGAAGCTTGTAAAAGACGTTACGTATGTTTTCTATGAAGGTTGTAACAGATGTTAAACTCAACCTGAAATCAAAATGGACCTTTTTACTTTGTTAGTTTGTGTCTGTGGTCACATTAAGAACGATCTATTGTGTCATTCAAAAGACAAAATGCTTGTTTCTCTTCTGTCTTTGATGGAAATGCAGTGACATTTACCACCTCCGAACACCGCCTGATGTTTGGCTGCATTACTGTTTTCCAGTGGGCTGGAAGAATTAAACCTGCCAGTAATATCTGAGGGAGTTTCTGCTCAGTCATCACCTCTGCACCCGACTGCATGTGCATGCATGTTCGCAGATGAACTTCTTTGTTCTCCTTCCTTCACTCTCTCACTTTCGTTTCTTAGACCAGTTAGAAAAAAATACCTGTTTGTTTATGTTCCAAATTTTTGTGTCGCGCTGCGAAGCTGTGTTTCCGAGGTTGCGACACTATGAGGTTGCGAGGCTCGTGATGGAGCGACGTGCACAGACACACGTACAGTCCATCTCTCCCTCACACACGTTAAGCAGTTACACTCATACATGGATTTATTTTAACAAAAAAACTGACTTTTTTTTCCTGAAGTCTCTTTTTTTCCTCTTGCTTTTGCTGTGAAAGTGTAAGAAAAGAGAAAGCAATACGAATGCTAACAGGCTAACCTGCTAACTAGTGCTTTGCCTCGTCTACGTCTTAAAAAAACACATTCAAATCAAACTTTCATGAAATAATGAATCATTTTTCAGCAACTACAGAAAAAACACATCAAAATATTCTAGTACTCCGTTTTAAAGCGTCCTACTGTAGAGCTGCCGCCACTGTTTCCCTTCCTAACAAGTACCGGAAACCTGCTGAGATTGTGGCTCATATTCACAATCAGTGATGTGTCTAGAACTTCCAGATGGACTAGAGTGAGGGTTTTTCTCCAGTCGTGCTGGTATTTTATTCTTCTATGGCATCACTCAGCACAGTGTGTGAAATGTTGAATAAAAATCGTTGTATTCACGATTTTGGTTAGTGTTTGTTGTGTTCCGCGTTCCCCGGGCCCCAGTGACAGCCACGAGAGTTGGTGGGAAGGTGACGCGAGTGATGCGATGTTCAGGGTTCAGGCCCCGCCTTCCCGCTGGCTCTCGCAGCTGTCAAGGGGGTCTGGGGAAAACATGGCACAAACGAGTTACTTTGTCTGTTCCAACTTCTCAGATAAGAAAAAACATATGCTGTGGCATTTTGTGAACTGTGATAACTTCTTGAGATATGATATTACATTTTTTCCACATTGCCCAGTACTACGTAAAACGTATTCACACTTAATGGGTTTGGTCTAATTAAAACAAACCCTGGTGTGATTGCTCTGTTAGTTCGGTTCATTAGAACAAGTGTGAATGCTGCCATTAGAGCTCGAGTGGACCAAATAAGTGGATCAAGACTCCTGAGTGATTTTTAATTTAAGTTCGGAGGAGCTGTTGATTTGGATGTTAACATTGCTCTGAGCAGCATGTATGGGAATAAATTTCAATAGTCCAATAAAAAATGTATATTCTTGCTTTCCCCCTTGAGAGATTTGTTGCTCAGTAAAAAGGGTCTCAAAAGTCACTAAGTCTTGCAGCTCAGGTAGGGATGAGGCAGAGATACGTTTACCACTAAAGATTCAGTGGCTGTATAAGCCCATAATTCATATTCATATTAAATATTTTGGCAGTAAAAAAAGCCCTGTGGCTGTAGCCCCAATATCCAGACCCTAAACTCACCCCTGGGCAGCTCCAGTTCTGTACTGACAGAGTTGCTGCTATCAGCAAATGCCATATGTCATATATGGAGGCTGAAAAAATTATGCAGTTTAAAATGATGCTCTGTTTGTGGATCTCATGGTAGCTACATTCAAGTAGACCGTCTGTACAAATCAGAGCCCACCGATCACCTGGTAGCACTTCAAGTCCTGTAACTCCACCCCTGCTTTAACCCCTGGGTCACCTTGTGTCTTGAAAAGATGTTTGTGGTGATGTTGTGGACTCACTGGACTCTTGTGAGCTTTGGTGGAGTTTTACACAGCGGTGTTATCTAAAACTAGGCGAGAAAGTGGTAGAAGTGGTCAGTAGATTGCAGCAGCGCCCTCTGCTGGTCAAAACAAGCACAATGTGAGACGCCTGCCTGTCTGCTCTGCTGCAGGTCTTTCTGAGGATTTTCTGCTGTGTTTTTAA